ACCGGAAGTGGATTGTACTTTCAATTGATTCCCCGTTTAAAACCGGAAGTAAAATTAAATATTTGACAACTACATATTATTTGCTTTGGGGATGTCCCTTTGCATATTAAATTTCAGATCAATCGATGCAAAAGCAAAAAAGTTGCAAAAAAATTGAAAAATTTGATTGAAAAAAGTGAGCGACGAATTTTCGAATTTTGTAATTTTTCAAGTGCTATCAGGTCAGAAATTACAGGTAGATTGTAAAAATGAAAACCCGAAGAAAATCGATGCAAAAATACGCCTTTTAGAGCCGATTTTTGACTATTTGCACATGTTGAACTGTGGCACTTCCGGTTTTGCAAAAATGTTCCAATATATATTTAAGGAACACGTCGCCCCTACAGAAGGTTTAGAGAAGTTGAATGGTTGCTGCAACTACTGCAGTTTAGGCTCAGGAAGGTGTGTAAATTTTGAAAAAAAAAAAAAAAAAAAAAAAAAAAAAAAAAAAAGAATGGACATTTCGATAACAAACTGGGACTTTGCTGAAAGCAAAGTCCCACAATGACAGCAAAGCCATTTGCATTGAAAATGCAAAATTAAAAAATGAAAAGCAAAAATTGTTAACAAAATGTAATCAATTAGGAAAAAGCGTAGAAGAATTATCTAATTACAAAGATGAAGCTGCAATACTAGAAATGCTTGAGACAGACATGCCAATTGCAACTTCAACCCCAGTAAACACTACTGTTGGAAGTGCTACACAGGACCAGACAAATGATACGCCTGAGCCGCCTGCCAAAATTACTAAAAGCTCTTGAATTATGCATTTTAGGTTATGAATACAGAGCTTAGAACCGTTGAACAGGAATTGCCAGAGAAAACTACTGCCAGTGATGATGAACGCCTATTCAGTGAAGAAATGGAGACTGACACAGTTAATGAAATGGAAATCTTGAAACGTGAATTGGAAGAGTTAAAATCCCGAGTGAACCGTATTGAATTGAGCATAGAACAGATTTTGCCATCACATCCATTGAAAAGAAGGAAAGCAGCTACCAGTATCTGAAGGATGAAAATGATGAGCTTCGAAAAGAAAATCGAAGACTTAGGCATGAAAGAACAAGATCTAACAAAGAGTACGAGGAAATGAAAGAGGCATATGAAGAGCTTAAAAGAAAATGGGACAGAAAAAATAGAATGTTGGAAGTAGAAGAAAAAATAGACCAACCACTTTTCAGTGAAGTCGTTGGCCCGCACAAGAAAAGAAAAATTGAAAGAACAGAAAATCGAAGACTTAGGCATGAAAGAACAAGATCTAACAAAGAGTACGAGGAAATGAAAGAGGCATATGAAGAGCTTAAAAGAAAATGGGACAGAAAAAATAAATTGAAGTCGTGGGCCCGCACAAGAAAAGAAAAATTGAAAGAAAAGAAAATCGAAGACTTAGGCATGAAAGAACAAGATCTAACAAAGAGTACGAGGAAATGAAAGAGGCATATGAAGAGCTTAAAAGAAAATGGGACAGAAAAAATAGAATGTTGGAAGTAGAATAAAAAATAGACCAACCACTTTTCAGTGAAGTCGTGGGCCCGCACAAGAAAAGAAAAATTGAAAGAACAGCAAGTGATTTGGTAGAGATGTCGCTCAAGGGAAATAGCAGTAATAATATAAGAGAAAAGAAGGACAATGGCCGCTTTTTGAAAGAGGGGAGAAAAGTGGAAGGACAAGCAGAAGTAGCTTTTATAGGAGACAGTAATTTCCGTGGATTGCTGGAATATGAATTGAAAGAATGGCAACTGGACAGAGGAATGATAGTTAGATGTTATTCGGGAGGAAGAGCCAATGATATGCTTAAAAAATGTTGTCTGCCTGACGAAAGTAGAGTAAAGACTGTAGTTATAGGAATTGGAGGAAATGATTTGAATGGTTGTAATGATGTACTGAATGAATTGGATGAAAATAATAAAAAAAGTAAAGCTGATAAAGTTATCCAAATTGTAGCAGATAAAATCACAGATGTAGCGAAATTGTATAAAGGTATTGCAAAGAGGGTATATGTTATGTTACCTGGCCTTAGAAAAAAAATGAAAAACAGTTATGTATTGAAATTAAACAGATTTTGTAAGGAAAAGCTAGACGATATGAACATTGAGTATCTAGATACTGCAGAAGAATTGCTAAAAGAAAAGCAACTGATAGATTGTGTCATTGATGGAGTCCACTACAGAGATTCATTTTTGAAGAAAATGATCGGCAAGATATGCAAAAGCCTTGACCTGCCTTTTCAATTGCCGGAAATAAAACCAACTAATTGGCCAGCCACAATGCCCGAACAGTGTTTTGCCTGTGGGGAGAAAACCACTAACCATGAATAAGTAAAACGCAGTGATAGAAAACATTTTGAGTGCTCCTTATGCCGAAAAAATGGACATAAGAAAGCACCAAGTAGAGCTCGATTTGAACAATGCTTAGGATGTGGAACCTATGGGCATTACAAACAAACATGCCCATGGATGGAAACAAATGAAACTAGAGCCACACGTGGCACAGAGTGGGACTTTGCAAATGTAGCAAATTGCAAAAGACTCTGAAAAAATCAACCTTCTACGATAATTACATCACGCGCAAGAGCAGTCTAAAGTTGAGAAGAATTCTTTGGAAGATTGTTATAACGGAAGTAGACAGACCGCACAAATGAAAGTATCAGAAGATAGCCAAGGTCAATGACATTTGACATTGAAAGGGAGACAGTCAACAAAGGTCAAGGTTACGAGATAAAAGTCATCAAAATTTTTAAATATATACGGCTATAAAACCGGAAGTTGAGATAGGATAGCAAATATAAAAGTATAAATAGATAGCCAATGTGAATGACCTTTAATCCTACAAAAATCAGGGTCAAAAAAGGTCAAGGTCAAAAATTGAAAATTTTGAATTTTCAAAAGCTGTTCCTTTTTTTGAACTATAAAGCTGAAACAATCGAACTTCCAAGACAACGTGGCTCAACGTATGAAGTAATTGTAATTGCAAAGTTCCATTTTGAACAAATGTATACGTTGTGAGTTATGTCCCTTGCCAAAATTGTCAATAATGAGTAATTTAACCCGGATGTGCTAGGCCCACCTCAATTTCTTTTGCATAGGTTAATTGATATTCTGAATGTTAAGTTGTGTTCCAAATTTAAAGCTTCTACATCATACAGGTCAAAAGATATAGGTCAACAAGAGTCAATAAAGGTCAAAATAGAAAATATGGAAATTTCAAAACCCGTTCCTTTTTTGAAACTATAAAGCTGAAACAATTGACCTATTAACACAAACTGGCCAAAATAATGAGGTAATTGTGTGCAAAGTTCCTTTTTGAACAAATGTATCCTATGCGAGTTATGCCCCTTTCTCAAAATGTAAACAATTAGTAATTCAACCCGGATGTGCCACGCCCACCTCAACTTTTTTGTCATAGGTTAATTTATATTCAAATTGTCTTGTTGTGTTCCAAGTTTCAATGTTTTACATAAAATAGGTCATAAGATATATACACACCAAGCTCAAAGAAACAGAAATATTGTAAAAACAACTCAAATTTGAAAAATTCACGAATTTCAATTAAAAAACGATTGTTATAAATCATTTGAAAGAGCATGAAAAGCACATTAAGAATCCGAAAAAATTAACCCTCTAGGTTAAATAGGTCACGTGCTAGAGCAGTCCAAAGTTGCGAATTTGGCTGTTTTCGGACAGCTATAAAACCGGAAGTACATGTCGGAGGTCAAATGTCAAAGTATTAACTGATAGCTAAGGTCAATGACCTTTGACCTTATGAAGGTCAAGGTCATCAAAGTTCACGATCACGAGATATGACCCTTCAAACTTTGAAAAAATTCAACCGGATGTTGCAAAAAAGCAAAATTGAGAATCGAAAAACGGCTTCCTAATGTCATGTTTTTTTTTTATCTTCTTTCATTTGACACGAAAATCATTTAAATCGGATGAGCCATTATGTCTGAATAAAAATCGAATCATTTCAGAAAAATCAAAATGGCGGCCAAAGTTTCACGTCTGTTCCGGATTTTTTTTTCTTCGTTTTTTTGTCATAACTTTGTCTACCTATCAGCATAGAAATTTTTGTCCTATACAAATTACACCGGAAGATATTCAACCGGAAGTGAACATCGTTTTCCTGTTTAAACCGGAAGTGAAATTGAAAATTTGACTGTACCATTTTGTTTACATTCTTAAACTGTCTTTGCTCAATTTTTTTCAGATTAATCAGACAAAAAGCAAAAAAAATGAAAAAAATGCAAAATTTGGCAAAAAAAATGTCTGCGACAAATTTTCGAATTTTGAAATTTTGAAACTGCTATTCTTTCAGATTTTAACAGTAGATTCCAAAAATGCAAACCCAAAGAAAATCGACCGAAAAATACGACTTCTAGAGCCGATTATCTATTCTTCCATATATTGAACTGTGGCACTTCCGGTTTTGCAAAAAAGATCCAAAATATATTTATGCACATCGTCGCCTATATCTAAGGTTCGTGAATGTTGAATGGTTGCTGCAACTATTGTAATCTAAGCTCAGGAAGGTGTGTAAAAATCGAAAAAAAAAAAAAAAAAAAAAAAATTAACATTTCGATAACAAACTGGGACTTTGCTGAAAGCAAAGTCCCACAATTATATAAATCGACCACCATCACCCTGTAAATAGCTCGTTGTATAGACTTTTGTTTTGCCTGATGAATAGCCTGTTGAATAGCCTCTTCTATAGCCTCTTAAATAGCCAATTGATCTGCCTGTAAGTATCTTTACATATGAAAAATTTGTCTTGATATCCAACAAAGTATCAAGAGATGTAAGTAAATCTTTGAATTTCACACCCAGAGCAAATTGATAAGCAGTTTTTGCTTGGTTAGCTTCATTTACAACTACAACCATCAAAAAATTGATGAATTCAATATGCCAAAAAACAGAACTGTTAAAAAAGTCTTTATAAAACTTAAAGAGTCGCCCCAAACTGAATATCCACATCAACACAATAAGGTTCAGAAAAGTTATACATTTAAGAAAAGTCAAAATTGACTGACCTTCACAAAAATCATTTTGAAATTGAAGAAATAATTATTTGCAATTCCTTTGCAGATTTTCAAAATATGGTTATCTCTGAAGTTTTAAATTATTTGTACATAACTACCATGTACCATGTTGTCTCTTAGTAAGTCAGAGTATATGTTAACTGCCAACAGTGTTTGAATAATACTAATTTCAAACCCAGAGCAAAATGATAAGCAGTTTTTGCATGATTAGCTTCATTTACAACCATAACCATCAAAAAATTGATGAATTCAATATGCCAAAAAACAGAACTGATAAAAAAATCTTTATAAAACTAAAGAGTCGCCCCAAACTGAATATCCACATCAGCACAATAAGGTTCAGAAAAGTTATACATTTAAGAAAAGTCAAGATTGACTGACCTTCACAAAAATCATTTTGAATTTGAAGAAATAATTATTTGCAATTCCTTTGCAGGTTTTCAAAATATGGTTATCTCTGAAGTTTTAAATTATTTACACATAACTACCATGTACCATGTTGTCTCTTAGGTAAGTCAGAGAATATGTTAACTGCCAACAGTATTGTTTCACTACAGAGCCAGGTTTGAAGACATTTAAACTTTTATGGTTATCAGATAAAAAAAAACTAACCCATAATATTCAGTTTACAAAATAAAAAAAAAAAAATGCTTCGTCCCTTTATACAATCCAATGAAAAGTTTCCAATTCTATTTACAATGATTTTTGTTTAAAAAATGTATTTAAATTTGTTATTTTTTTGTATATTTCAGGCACCCTAACCCTGTTTAGACATTTCAACAGTTGTATTACCTTTAACACAGTGACTTGACACTTAATCAACAGTTTATACAGTTAAAAATATAACAGTACAAAAAAAAAACTTCAATAGTGTAAAACATTCAGAATAGTTGTAAAACAATGTGTACTTGCTGTAAAACTTCATTTCAAAGTATTTCTCGATTTTATGTCAACAAGTGCTAGAAAATAACTAGTAATTCTTATTGTATATTACCATTTTCAATACATTCCAATTATTTTGATTCTCTTTGCACTTCAATTCTAATCATTATTAATCACTCTACAGCATTATTCATGTGATTTTAATTCAGCTTGAGTGTTTAGTGACTAAATTCTTTTTCACAAAAAGGTTTTTGGAGATACACAACTTGATATTGGTCTGGAGATGCACAACTTGATATTGGTCTGATTCTTGAGAGGTTGATATTAAGTAGCTTTTTTAACAAATTGAAAAGATTATATGATTACATTTCGAACATTTCAACTTCAACTTTGACAATAAACTGAGGTCAAGAATCAATTAACAAACTGAAATCGATTATTGAAAACAGGCTACTGATCAAAAATTTTAATGAAGAAATCTTCTGATTTCTGTCTATTGATGTATATGGTTGTATAAATTTGTCATTTATTGATATCTGGTTCATAGAATTTCTAAAATGTATAATCATCACATATAATCTGATGTGACTTGTCCAATTACCATGTAGCAGATCATGTTGAAAAAAACAAATTTAACTGACTTTTAATCATTTACAAAATTCGATAATCAAAATTATATATTGATTATTTTTGCCCAGTCCTAAGTAGTCGCATGATCATAAGTATATTTCATAGATTTGTGTTAGTGTACATATTATTATTTTCATAACTGTTGTTTTTACACAGTGCTTTGTATTTATTTTAGTTTATTTTATTATTTGAATTAAAACTTTGGTAATTTATCACGTGGCACATTGAGCAGTAATTACTTATAGAATTATTGCTAATGGATAAACTGTCATAATAGTAAAATTCAATTCTTTTCTTGTCCTTATTAGCCAAGACAGCTGCAATCAAGTATACTTACAAATCCATTGCATTTCATGCAAACTAATCAAATCTTCGAGAAAAAAAATGTAAGGATATAAAAAGATTAAATTCAACAGGAGAAAAAAGGTGGTAAATATTAGCAACTCCCACCTGTCATAAACTCGATACATAAAACTTTAAAAAAAATATTTCAACCTAATTTGCTTGAATATAATCTGCAAATACACAATTCATGACAGACTTATTGAAATCCCCCAAGGATAAATCTGATCAAAAATCATGACAGACACGTAATTTTTATTCTACAAAGCAGAAGTCTAAAACAAATTTGACAACTTGATGAAATTGATCACAATCAAAACTAAACCTTTTGAAATATAAAATACAAGTTATTGCCGTTATTCTTACAAATGTGTTTGATTTTTAACTTGTGATGGCACAGTTTGTGATGGATTTGGGTATAAGTTGAAT